TCCATTAGGTGGTGGTAGCTGTTTTTAATGCCTGATCAAAAGTTATTGCGAATGTGATAGCCTACTACTACTAATAACAACAGAACACATTACATAATTGTTGTTATTAAATGAAATATCTGGACATTTAACACTTATTTGATAACATTACAGATTGATCTGAATAAACAGGGTATGTGCAACTTTGGTGTATAAGACAGCAGGCTAACCGGGTAGCTGTATTTTGTGCGAACGATATAAATCATAATGTGATTTTGTAGAAATTGTAATCAGGTGCTAAAAAAAAGAGTACCCACTAAAATGTCTTTACATCAAGGACCCGATCATGGAACACTGCACAGTACAAGCGCAGCGTTGAGCTTCTTGAGTCTGTTCAGTAAAGAGTGTTTTGATTGGTGGATTAAAAGCTCACCGCGATTGGCTGAACGGAACATCCTCCAAAAAAAGATATTTATGAATCTTAACCTGCCAGGAAGGTCTCAAAAATGATTTTGTAGAAATTGTAATCAGGTGCTAAAAAAAGAATACACATTAACAGGGTTGGCCAGTAACGCATTACTTAGTAACGCGTTACTGTCATTTGATTACTTTTTTAGTAACGGAGTAATTTAATGCGTTTAATTTTCAAAATAGTAATTATAGAGTATACTATATCTATCTACACGTCGACACTTTTAATTTGGTTAGTGGAGAGAGCGAACATTCGCGTCCCATACACCGCAAGACCTTGAGTGTCTCTGTGAACAGACCGAACAAACCAGCAGGAGCCAGTACCGCCATCTTTCTCCTTTTAATCTAAATACAGAATTAAAACATTCATAGGCAAGGTCATATCGCCAAGTGCCTCCCCTACACATCTCTCTCCATGACGGTGACAGCCACACTTTTTATAACAAGGCAGTAAATGAACCAAACCCACCGGAACTAACTTGAACATAAACACAAATAACATTGCTAATGCAAAAACCCAACCATCTTGCTTAATTAACACATAAATCAACTCTAAACAAATACCCATAATGCACCTAGCTGCTAGCGCTCACTGCCGGGTCATTACATTACCCCCCACCAAGAGGGTTAGTGTCCCCACAACCCTATTCTCCCATAACAAAAGGCTCAGCCCTCAGTCCGTCATTGTCCGTCTTGGCGCTGGGAGTGGATGGTGGGGAGCCGGCCTGGCTTCCACCAGTCTTTTGTTCTGGGGCCAGTGGGTGGTACGGTGCCAACTGATCCTTATGAAGTACCACCCGTCTACCCGTCCAGGCATTCGGACCCGGAAAACCCCCTCCGAAATTTGGTCCAGAATCTCCCCGGGTCCCTGGGCCCTGCCAGTCAGTTTGGGTGACAACCCCCGCTTCCTCTGGGGGCAGAACCCCCACACTCTGTCCCCTGTCCCCTGGGTAGGCCCGTGGGCCCGGGCATCGTACGCCCGCTTCTGGCGTGTGCGATGTGCGGAGCTCCCTCCCAAACATCAGCGCCGCCGGTGTGCACTGGCTCGCCTCTTGCACGTGGGCCCGGGCATCGTACGCTCACTTCTGGCGGGCTCCAGCGTCCTCTAAAGCCTCCCTGGCCAGTTGATGGACCGTGCTCAGACGCTCCTTCAATCGCCGGAAGTAGTCCAGTTCTGGGCCACCAGCAATCTCCGCAATCTCCGGGGACCCGAACACCAAATCCACCGGTGTTCGGAGCTCCCTCCCAAACATCAGCTCCGCCGGCTCCGCCGGTCTCGACTCTTGCACTGCTGTTCTATACGCCCACAGGACCAGGGGCAGATGCTGGTCCCAGTCTCTCTGGTGCTGACTGGTCAAGATGGCAAGTTGGGTGGCCAGGGTGCGGTTGAACCGCTCGGTGCCAGGAATCATAATTAAACTAAACGAGGACAGGAAAAAGACAATATAAGGAAAACCAGGAACAAAGACAGGGGCAAAACACAACAAAACAGGTCCATGATCCTGACACTTCCATCTTTATTTGACCCTCTAACTCTAGCACTCTATTCTAATTCTATTCTTTATTAAAAAAACTTGCCCCTTTTAGACTTGCACTCTATTTATTTATTAACTGCTTGTTTTCTTTAAAAAAAAAACTAACACTTGCATCTCTTTTCTTTTTGCATTCTATCTATTTTTCTTTTTATTTATTATACAATTATAATTCTGACTTTCTGACTTCTGATTAACAAAAGCAAAAAAGGCCTCTAACACTATAGCTTGCTCTATTCTTTTTCTGTTCTGTTTTCTTTTTATTTATTATATTGTAACAACGCACAGTTGTTCTATAGAACGTGGGGCTAACCGGAGCTAAGCTAGGCTACTAAACTTCTGCTAAGCTAATTGCTAGCAGTGTGCTAGCATCTACACGTTGAGACTTTTAATTTGGTTAGTGGAAAGTGCGAACACTCGCGTCCCATACACCGCACGACCCTGAGTGTCTCCGTGAGCAGAAGTACAGACAGAACAAACCAGCAGGAGGCAGTACTGTCATCTTTCTCCTTTTATTCTAAACACAGAATAAGAACTTACACAGGCAAGGCCATATCGCCAAGTCCCTCCCGTACACATCTCTCTCCATGACGGTGACAGCCACACTTTTTATAACAAGGCAGTAAATGAACCAAACCCACCCGAACTAACTTGAACATAAACACAAATAACATTGCTAACGCAAAAACTCAACCATCTTGCTTAATTAACACATAAATCAACTCTAAACAAATACCCATAATGCACCTGGCTGCTAGCGCTCACTGCCGGGTCATTATAATACCAAACCATGCACGCAGAAGCCGCTTGCTTTAGTTAAAATAACAGTATTCTGTGAATGCTTTAATAACGAATACTTATCGGGAGCGTGTATGCTGGGATTTCATAAATGTAATGGAGAAAAAAGTAACAGTAACTAGTAATGTAACTAATTACTAATTACTTTTGAAATAAAGTAATCGGAACAGTAACATTATTACCTTTAAAATGAGTAATCCGTAATCAGTAATTTAATTACATTTTCAGAGTAACTTGCCCAACACTGCCCATTAAAATGTCTTTACATCAAGGACCCAATCATGGAACACTGCACAGTACAAACGCAGCGTTGAGCTTCTTGAGTCTGTTCAGTAAAGAGTGTTTTGATTGGTGGATTAAAAGCTCACCGCGATTGGCTGAACGGAACATCCTCCAAAAAAAGATATTTATGAATCTTAACCTGCCAGGAAGGTCTTAAAAATACCGCACACAAATTCAAAGCAGTCCACGCACATGTGACGATTTGCAAATGCAGATTCAACGATCCATAAATACATGTAACATCATTCATAAATGTGTGATGAAAATTAATTCAAGAACTTGATATATACATATTTGTGTAAACATTTTAAATGTATTTAGGTAAGATGCATTTGTGTGAGCATTTGGGGAAATATTTATGCTTTTACTTGTGTATTTATGAATTGTGTTTTGAATTTACGAATCGGATTTTGTAAATGTAAATTGTGCTGTGCATTTATGAATTTTGTTTTGTAAATGTGTTATTTTTGAGGCTGATCTGTCTCCATATCAAAACCTTATCATCAACAACCTGATCCTGACAGCACTCTGTTAAATTGCTGTTATACAGTATGTAACTCAAAGAAACACCCTGGCTTTGACATGACAGTGAGAACAATGTCAATTGATGTTCTTCGATATTCTTTAAACCAGGTTACCCAATTGACATCCAACCACAGAAAAATGCAATTAATCCTGCCCCTCCTTTTAACCAGGGACCAGCCATACCAGGCCAAGGTAAGGAAATCTAAGGAAATTTGGAATTTTCATAATCCTCAATTTTCTAGATCCTCCTGCTTAACACGTCATTTTGCTCCTTTTGAAAGGTCAAGTGCCTGTGATGCCAGTTCCACAAAGACCCGCTGGCTGCCCACCAGGACTGGAGTACCTGACCCAGGTAGAGCTTTACTGCTGGATATTGTTACGAATGGATTCGTGTGTTGCTAGGGAAATGGCATATCATTCGTTCGTGTGCGCGTGTATAGGTCTTTCCGTGTGTTTCTTTGTCTCGCCCTCTTTCGCTCTAATTGATTACAGGTGGAGCTGATTAGGAGGACTGAACTGGTTGGAGACAGGAAGGATTGCCGCAGTACTTAAGCCATCCGGTGGAAGGAATCGTTGGCTCCCCGCTCTCTTGGTGGCTACTGTTGTACCCGCTGTGTGACGTGTGTTGGTGAAAGGATTTGTTGTTAACCACTGAATTAAGTAACTGTTTAGTTGTATTTTATGTCTGTTACGTTGGGTTGCTTACTTCCTGCACCTTGTTTAAGTGGAGCTTGGTAGGGAGGTGGTTGCCTGTTTGTTTTGTTTGTTTTCTCCTGTCTATGTTAGTAGGGAGGTAAGAACTTGTATTTTATTTGTTATCTGATTTCTAGGTTAGTTTGTTTAGTAGTAGTTTGTTTATTGTAATTTACTTTGGCAAACTGCCCCTCCCGAAGTTTATGATGCTCCTTTGTTTCTTTTGTTAATAAACTTACTTTAATTTGCACTTAAATAAGTGTTTTGTGGTTGACAAATTTAAAGAATGAGAGCGGGGACCCCAGGGATCTTTCCTAGATGGATCCCTGTTAACTGTTATGGACCAATTTATTTCTCTTTGAGTAGGGATTTAACTCGCTGTTCGTAACAATGTTTTAAAAAAATACTGCTGACACAACTTCAGCATGTCTCACAGACGTCCTCCTCAACAGACAAACTTCTGAAACTAATAATGAGAATTTCATCATCAAAGAGTATAGAGAGGGTCAAATGTAAGCAAACTTGTGAGCATGTGAACAAAAAGTCAGATGTTCGTTCTTCCATTGAAGCTCAGGATGCTCTTTGGAACAACTCAAATCATGCTGGATTTTACAGCAAGAACTCATGGAGTTTATGCTGTTTAAGTGCTGCTGACATTAAAGAAAAATGGTAACAAATCAAATACTAGAAATTTCAACATTAAACTTTTACTGCTAATATAACATGTAGGAGAATTAATATAAAATAATACAAATTATGGGATTTTTAAATATAATGAAATAACTTTAATACAACACTTTTTTTTCTTGAAATATAAGTCCTATTTATTTAAATTATATATATTTTAAATGTTTTAAAATAGCTTTATTTACTTTTTTTAATTAATCAAATTGACCATAATTTTAAAACATCCTAAACAACAAAAGACTAAACTGTAGACAAATCAATACTAAACATCTCGACATTCACATTTTTAAATTAAACTTGTCACTCAAACCGTTATGCTGCTAATATAATATATGAAAAAAAATAAAAACATCCATAATGTAGCATTTTATTTTGAGGACTAATTCTCTGGGGAGAGTTTTATTTTACTGTAAGCACTGCTGAATGAATGAGCAATAACATGTAAAAGTACTCCAGAGAGCACTATACAAAAATCTCAGCATTTCTCAGGGAACAACATGTTCTAGTTCAAGGACCAACTAGGTGCTTAGAGCAGGTATCCAACAGCATGAGGAGCGACACAGAGAAGTGGGAAGCCCTTTCAGCTGTACGTTTGTGGCAGATGGATCAAAAAGATGCCAACTTCAAAGTTTTAACCTGGTTGAAAACACACAAGTTGTGTTGACGTCAAAAGCAGTGCTGGGTTGGTTTCCAGGGAGATAGGTTAGAGCCAGGGGGATCGCTAAGCCCTACAAAAGGCTACGGTTGCCGCGAGACATTAATGATTGCTGTCACATCACAACATCCTGTGCAATGAAAAAGAAGGGGAAAAACAGCTTTTTAGATAGTCATAAACATCACTCAGCAGCGAGAAAAGAGTTTTTAAAGACAGAGGTGAAAGTAAATTCCCTGTGGTGATTACAGCTTCTCCTATTTTATTTGTTATCTGATTTCTAGGTTAGTTTGTTTAGTAGTAGTTTGTTTATTGTAATTTACTTTGGCAAATTGCCTCTCCCTAAGTTTATGATGCTCCTTTATTTCTTTTGTTAATAAACTTACTTTTATTTGCACTTTAAGTGTTTTGTGGTTGACAAATTTAAAGAATGAGAGCGGGGACCCCAGGAATCTTTCCTAGATGGATCCCTGTTAACTGTTATGGACCAATTTATTTCTCTTTGAGTAGGGATTTAACTCGCTGTTCGTAACAGATGAGACCGTATCTTCTCAGGAAATGGTGACTCGGCTTGCGTTGCATTTCTGGGCTTTGAAATGCCACAACAAATGTTCCACTTGGAAGAATGTGAAAAACTGGAAACACTTTAAACACGATTATCATGCCATCCAAAGTCCTAAAGAGGGTTTTTAACATTTTATTTCCTTTTTCCAACACAGATCGATCAACTTCTTGTACAGCAGAAAGTTGAGCTGGCAGAAGGTAATGTTGTGATGTTTGTTCGTTTTTTCTTCACCGATATTATGAATATTTTGCATATGTTGAGATTAAATGACTATTATCGTAACATAACAGAAATCAACTGACCCCCTTGGTTACTTTTGCTTGATCACACAAGCTTTACACAGCATCCCGTAGGAATAAACTGGACAATGTGATTTTCAGTAAAATGCATACACTTATATAGTAAAAATGCAATTATTATTATTTTTATGTGGGCTGGAATTAAGTTTTTATCCGACATTTAATTCTTTATATATATATGTATATGTGTATATATGTGTGTGTATGTGCTGTGAAAAGGTTTTTGCCCCCTTCCTGTTTTAATTTTTTTGCATATTTGTCACACTTAAAAGATTCAGATCATCAAACAAATTAATATTACACAAAGATAATGCAAGTAAATACAAAATGCAGTTTTTAAATGATGATTTATTTTATTAAGGGAAAAAAGCTGTCCAAACCTGCCTGGCCCTACGTGAAAAAGTAATTGCCCCCTAAATCTAATAACTGGTTGTGCCACGCTTTGCAGCAAGTGTTTGCGATAACTGGCAATGAGTCTTTCACATCGCTGTGGAGGAATTTTGGCCCACTCTTCTTTGCAGAATTGTTTTAATTCAGCCACATTGGAGGGTTTTCGAGCATGAATGGACTGTTTAAGCATCTCAATTGGATTTAAGTCCGGACTTTGATTTGGCCACTCCAAAACCTTAATTTAGTTTTTCTTGAGCCATTCAGAGGTGGACTTGCTGGTGTGTTTGGGATCATTGTCCTGCTACATAACCCAAGTGAGCTTGAGGTCACAAACTGATGGCTGGACAGTCTCCTTCAGGATTTTCTGATAGTGCAGAATTCATGGTTCCGTCAATTATGACAAGTTGTCCAGGTCCTGAAGCTGCAAAGCAGCCCCAGATCATCACACCATGTTTGACTGTTGGTATGATGTTCTTTTTATGAAATGCTGTGTTGGTTTTACGCCAGATGTAACGGGACACACACCTTCCAAAAAGTTCAACTTTTGTCTCATCAGTCCACAGAATATTTGCCCAAAAGTCTTGGGGATAATCAAGATATTTTTTGGCAAATGAGAGACGAGCCTTTGTGTTCTTTTTGGTCAGCAGTGGCTTTTGCCTTGGAACTCTCCCATGGATGCCGTTTTTGCCCAGTCTCTTTCTTATTGTTGAATCATGAACACTGACCTTAATTGAGGCTAACTAACTAACTAACTAACTAACTAACTAACTAACTAACTAACTAACTAACTAACTAACTAACTAACTAACTAACTAACTAACTATTTGTAATATTACATTTTTAAGGGATTTTTTTTGGTCAATGTATATGTAATAGAATAGTTATGGTCCATTTATTACCTGTTTACCACTTTGAGTATAGACTTGAAAATGAAATTTCCAAATTAAACTGTTGGTAAATCTTAAATACTTCGGAGCACAGACTTAAGTTGGGTCTCTTTTTAAAGAAGACACTTCGCAGATTATTGCTGGAAAAAGTTACAGAATTAAAACAGTTTTATTATGAAATTGCACAAAATACTATTTATTTTATTAATTTTTTTTTAATTTGATATGAGATTTTACGAAACATGTTTTACTCTAAAACTGTGAAATCAAAGCCGTAAATCTAAAGTTGTGTTCCATATTTGAGGCTGATATTTCAAATAAGATCTTTCGGGAAGATTTTGTTTGGGTGCAGTACCAAATGTTTCCACTAGATTAAATTAACTTCCCATTCATTTCTAATGCGGACCATGAACATACTGTTTTTTTTTTAACCTTTTTGAATCATGTCCATGAATTTCATAAGTGCCAAAACCTTTAGCAAGTTTGTACAATTCAGATGAAGTAAACAGTTCTAAAAAATGTTGGTCAAAAATGACAAAATGACACAATTAGGTTAATTAAATTATTATTTATAGTTTGAAAATTCTGTATGTATTCTCTCTGGATACTTTTTGTTCGGCCCCAATATTTTACCTTGTTTTTGTGTAACTTCTGTAATCTGTAGTATTAAACCACCCAAGCACAATTCCATAGAGTTAGAAAACCGCAAGGGCCTGTCTGTTAATATGGTAGTTGGCAACAGTTGCCAGGCAGTTGCAAGGCAGGATTGAAACCAGTAACCAAGGTGGGGCTTACTGATGGGTCAGTTAATGCAGTGCACACAACTTAACAAAAAGCATGGATCTTAATTTTATATTTGTTTTATTTTGTCGTATCACAGTTATATTGGGCTGGGAGACCAATAATAAGTACATAGTGAAGAACAGTATGGGGCAACAGGTGTTCTTTGTGGCTGAGGAAAACGACTGCTGTAATAGACAGTTCTGTGGACCGCTGCGTTCATTCGTCCTCCATGTTCAGGATAACGTGGGACAGGAAGTGATGACACTCACTCGTCCTTTGAAGTGTGGAAGCTGCTGTTGTCCCTGTTGCCTGCAAGAGGTAATACAGATTTTGGTTCATGAAGTTACATTCTGTCGTAACTCACTTTTATTCAGGTTTCAAAGTCTTTGATTTGTTATCATTGTTAAAAGATATAAGCTGGTTGATGAAAGATTGTAGATTCAAACTAGATTGTAGATTCATGAGCTATTATCATTGTGCTGTTTGTGTAGAAAAAAAAAATGCTTTGAATACAATCCATACGTAAACTACTGTACAAAAGTTTCGGATTGGTAAGATTTTTTTTAATGTTTTTGAAGAAATTCTCTTATTGGATCTTAAATTTGCATTAAATTATTGTAATTATTAATTTCTTTGAAGCAATACCCAGATTGTATATTGACTCGAATATGATGATCATGGTTTTAATTTATGAATGAAATTTAAATTAATTTTTAGCATGCATAAAAAAAGTGATACAATATATCAGTGATACAATTGAAGAAAGAAAGCCTTATTACAAGAATGAAGTTACTGAAAATAAAACTCGTAAATTTAGTATTTAAGTATTTAATGACTGTGTGTCAAGGTCTATAAGTCTCCTAAAATATCAGATAATTTGACCTTTTCATGAAAACGCAAGGTTAGTTGAGGTTGTAAAATGTCATGTGGTGCGACTTGTAAAATGTAATATCTTGATTTTATGATAATATTAATAATTCATGATTCAACACTCACATTTTTGGGCACTCATGGACACTCTTAGATGTTGTTGACCCTATTAATATTTTAGACCATTGCTAAATGAACACCCAGCCTATGCATGTCAGGCTTTCAAATCAACGTCACCAATGTACTGTTGCGAATGATGTGTTGCATGATGGGTACTCAGCAAAGCCACCACCATTGGTCATGCTTGTGATTGAATTAACAGCTTAAATGCAACCTATAACCTGTGAATAATTATACAGATCTGCATTAATTTCAAGAATAATTATGCCTAAACTCAAATCACTGTGTCCTTTTTTTACTGTCTTCCTCTTAGCTCGAAATCCAGTCTCCACCGGGCAACCCGATTGGATATGTGATCCAGAATTGGCATCCTTTCCTTCCCAAGTATACCATACTGAATGAGGAGAAAGAAGCAGTTCTGAAGATTGTGGGGCCGCTCTGTTCATGCAGATGTTGCGCTGATGTGAACTTTGATGTATGAAACATACAAGGCAGAAATATTGATGATATAATTTCAAGAATAATTATGCCTAAACTCAAATCACTGTCTTTTTTTTACTGTCTTCCTCTTAGCTCGAAATCCAGTCTCCACCGGGCAACCCGATTGGATATGTGATCCAGAATTGGCATCCTTTCCTTCCCAAGTATACCATACTGAATGAGGAGAAAGAAGCAGTTCTGAAGATTGTGGGGCCGCTCTGTTCATGCAGATGTTGCGCTGATGTGAACTTTGATGTATGAAACATACAAGGCAGAAATATTGATGATAGTTTGATAATTTGACTTGGTCTTTAATCTTAGTCATAAAAGTATAAAACCATGTGATCCTTTTACATACCACTAAACATTTTGCATGATGATAAATAGTTATTTTTTTGCATCTAAACAGGTTTTGTCCGTGGACGAATCAACAAAGGTGGGCAGAATCTCTAAACAATGGACAGGTCTGGTGAGAAGCTTTCACTGATGCAGACAATTTTGGAATCTCCTTTCCTATGGATCTGGACGTGAAGATCAAAGCTGCTCTTTTCGGAGCATGTTTTCTCATAGTAAGCAACAAGTTATTATACGTCAACATATTACTGGTTGGACCAGTTTGTATCGGTTTAATCTTGCTCTATAAGCTTTGCGTTTTTCAGCATAGTGAATAATCTGCTGTTATTCTTCTCTTGTAGGACTTCATGTTCTTTGAACACAATAAATAACTTTATTTTCCGGATGTCATGTAAGTACACTAATATGGCATATGGATATTTTAAAAAGTCCACAACATGATTTGTCAACACATCATTGTCATTGACATCTAATCATTGTTTTTCAATTAGTATTTCAGGTTGAATTTAGATTTTTTTTTTTTTGAACTCCTCCTCAACTCTCAACATGTTAACCATGGATTCAAATGTGGATCACTCAGCTAAATATTATGGACACGTTATATTATACATATTGCTATGTACATTACATTATAGAGTATATTCCTTCACTACTGTTCTTGAGCCACCACTAGGTGACAGCAATTCCCTTTACAATAATGTTGAGATGCTCTCGGTATCAACAAAGTACACTCTTAAAAATAAAGGTGCTTCAAAAGGTTCTTCACAGCATGCCATAGAAGAACCATTTGTGGTTCCACAAAGAACCATTCAGTCAAAGTTTCTTTAAAGAACCATCTCTTTCTCACCTTTTTATAATCTGAAGAACCTTCTTTCGCCACAAAGAATCTTTTGTGAAACAGAAAGGTTCTTCAGATGTTAAAGGTTCTTTATGGAACCATTTAGACAATAAGGTTCTGCTATGGCATTGTGAAGCACCTTTATTTTTAAGAGTGTATCTGCTCTAAATACTTTGCCAAAAAATTAACTACAAACTATTAAAGAGAACTTTATTCTTTTTTTTTTTATTTATTTTTTTTATTCTTCTATGGCATTGTGAAGCACCTTTATTTTTAAGAGTGTATCTGCTCTAAATACTTTGCCAAAAAATTAACTACAAACTATTAAAGAGAACTTTATTCTTTTTTTTTTTATTTATTTTTTTTAAAGACAATATAAACAAACTTGTAACAAGCAAAATGTTAACGCCTTGATTTTGCTCCAATTGTTTTTGTTTGTTTCATTATAATAGATAGTAGAATAAAGTGTTATATATATCAACATCTGCTTTTAGTGTTTGCAGTCATGCTTACAAATGTGTTATAAAATTATCATTGCTTACAGGTATAAAGGTAATGCATATTATATTCAAACATTTCTCATTGTAAAATGCAGTTCACAATAAATAAAACAGTACAATTATTCAGATTATTCTAAACAACTTTCATGGTTTCATTTAGCACCTATGTTCTTCTTTATTCACAAAGTGCTCCTCAACTCCTCATTATGCCTTCTTGGACTTAGATAATGAATAACACTAACTTTTTTCACCTTTGCTTTCTTGTTATTCAAGTTTTCATGTTGCTCAGCAACAACACCTCATTTACAGTCCTTAAGAAAGCTGTTTGCTTTACCTCAGAAGGAAACATTCGAAATGATGATCGAAAGAAGCCCTTAGTCTTATCCCGAGTCATTTCAGAGAAGGAAATTTGTTTATGTCTAGACTTTTTTTTTTTTATTTTTTTTTTTAAATTTGCAATAAGAGTTGCAATAAATGACAACACTGTTTTGAATGAAAAAATGAGAAGGACCCCACAAAATTCACCTTTTACTTCTAGAATGCTGTACTCTGTTCATTATAGCACTCTGCATTTTTATTCGTGTGTGTGTGTGTGTGTGTGTGTGTGTGTGTGTGTGTGTTGCATAGTATGCAAAATTTCTGCATGCATACACTCTCAGAAAAAGTTACAAATGTTGTCACTGTGACGGTGCCCTTTCAAAAGGTATAAATATGTACCGTTTAGGTACATTATTCATTTTAGGTAGCAATATGTATCTAATATGCAGTCTCTAGGGGTAAAAAGGTACAAAAGTGTAGCTTTTGAAAAGGTACTGCCCCAGTGACAGCTTTGTACCTTTTTACCCCACATGTTCCAAAAGGTCAAGTATACAACCAAAGACAACATTTCGACTTTTCATTTCCAGTGTGACAAATGAATCTGAAAAAAATATCAACCATGAAATTTATTTCTTAGATGATAACTGGACGGCACTGAAGTCATGTGAAAACAGCATAGCATACTGCTGGATGAAATGTATGCCATTGCATAATGTGTGCTGTATCACATACTACTATACGATCAAAGGCAGACACACTGAGAGAGCTGAAATTCACTGACAATGAAGTCAGTTAAAGGCATTATTCCTGTCTGCCTGCATAACTCTAACCCTTTTGAAGACCGAAGCATGCCATCCTAAACTTTCCACTCTACACTATTAAAAAATATCAGCAGTTGCAGTGCATACTGTGCAGTATGCAGTAAGCTATTATTCTGTTCTGAATATCTGAATAGCAATGGAAGGTCAAAACTTGTGCATAGCACTTAGACCTGAAGAACTGTTCAGCAGTGATGAACTTTGCCTTCGAAAAACAAATACAATTGAATTACACTCCATTTCAACAGTTTTCATTTTTGGGCTCTTGTCATTCATAATTACATTTTAAACCCCTGTCAAACCACAAGGCTCTAATTTAGTATTTATTGAAGCCTCTGTGACTTATATCTTGCAATCTGACTTTATTTGTCATATTTGCAACTTCATATGTGACTCTATTTGTCAGATTTGTGACTTTATATCTCACATTGTGACTATCTCTTGCAATGTGACTTTATTATGTTTGCAACTTTATATCTCACAGTGTTACTTTATTTGTTGCATTTGCAACTTTATGTGATTGGTCATATTTGTGACTAAATATCTTGTGATGCGATTTTATTCCTAGTATTTGTGATTTTACATTGCACCGTGTGGGCTTTATATCTCGCCATATGGTGTTACTTGACGTATTTGTGACTGACTTTACGTAATGATCTCACATTATCACATTATGACTTTCGTGACTATTTCTCATATTTGCAATTTGAAATCTCATAATGTGACTACTGTATATCTACTGTATTTCTCTTGTTACTTTATTTTTTGCAATGTGACTTTATTTCTTGTATTTCAACTTTAGATCTCACAATGTGATCTTTTTGTCTCTCAAAATGATTTTATTTCTCATATTAGCGACTTTATATTTCATAATGTGTCAGTATATTTTACAATGTGATTATTTCTTATATCTCTGACTTTATATCTCATGTGACTTTACGTCTTAAAATCTCACACTATTTCACAATCAGTTCCGGTCTTAGATTTTTCTTTTGAGTCTTCAGTTTTACTCATAAATGTTAAATTACAGAAGTAAAATATGGTTTTAAAAACTGTATCTAATCTCTGAAGTCTCTGACGTTCTATCAGTTAACACATTAAATAATTCTGACTTGTCCTTCAGTCTGTGAGAACTTACATTTACAATAAGTCTATAGGACAAGACACTTGTTTCAACAGTAAATTTTAAGGCATTTTTAATCCTATATCCTTTTTCCTATTTGAGTTGATTAGTATTCTAATTAATTTATTTGTTAGTCCAGTGTATAACACCCATGTTAGTCAGTTCTGCATCTTCGAGGAAGAAACCCTCTTGCTCCTCTGGAGCCGGCTGTAAACTTCCAAGCTGGGAGATATAGTGGTAGCAGGGCTGTTGGATGTATTTGGTTTGATCAATAATGGAGGACTCATCTGCTGATGGAGGCGCTGAGAGACCTAGACAGCCTCTAATGAAAGGGCTTGATTGATGTTGGGCTCTGATGTGTCTGTGACAGCAGCCAAGGGCCTCACCTCATGCAGCTCCACCCACAACTCACCACCGTTCACACACATTCACATACAGCCACAATCCACTGCTGATCATATGCGTCAGACACTTGTCTCTGCCTCTGACCTCTGTACACTTAGAACATTTACTCCCATGAAGCTTATTAATAAAGCATCGAATATATGCAGTAGTTTAATATGCTGGGTCTCATCATTAGGATTGTACACTTGTAACCTAGTGCTCACAGACTATATGTGGTGGGCGAAATAATTGTGAGTCGCATCTTCTGATTCAAATTCTAGGTCTATTACTGACTGTAGTGTAGCCTAGTAGTTACAATACTTGGTAAGTAACCAAAAAGTTTTATAGACACAATATTGCTAGTTACTCCATCTGTTTTTTTCTCTGACAATGCAAACAGATCAAAATGAAAGCCATAGCAGAACTATGGTGCGTTTTTGAATGATTCCAACCCAGTCTTTTGAGAACTATTTTATGATTTCATATGAATTTCGAACAATGTGATTTGTATGGAAAAGTGTTTTTTTTTTTTTTTTTTTAAACATAAACTTAAAGGGACCCATAAACGAACATTCTGTCATTAATCACTCACCCTCATGTCGTTCCAAACCTGTAAGACCTTCGTTCATCTTCGGAACACAAATGAATTCCGAGACCTCTCTGATGCTCCCATAGGAGCTAATTGCATCTCATACGGCATGTAAACACTTATGATAATAACAAGACGAGAGACACACTTGTATTATGACCTCTGATATCAGCCCTGCAGTCAAAAATGAAACAATATCCGGATCAGCACGGAATGAAACAGTTAAGCAGCAAGAACGGTTTGGACTGATGGTGGAAAAGTGATTGACTCACTCATAAAAACAGCCAATTGTTGCCACCTATTGGCATAATGATGTAAACTGCAGAAAAATCACTGAAAATGTCTCACCACTATTATACGCAGCCTGTCTAGAATGGGCAAACAGAGAAAAGCGGAGTGATACAAATCCTCAAGCACAAACTTCTTATTAGTTACAGGCAGTGGTGGAAAGAGTACTGAAAAAATATACTCAAGTAAAAGTACCATTACCTTCCAAAAAATGTAGTGTGAGTAGAGTAAAAGTACTTGTCCAAAAAACGACTTGAGTAAGAGTAAAAGAGTAGCCTATTTAAAAGTACTCATGAGTATTGAGTAGTGAGTACTGAGCTGTGGATTCTACCCCCTCATAATAAACGCTGTACACCGCAATTTATACATTTTAAAAACATTGTACATTCTGTAATTCACATTATCTTGTTTGTCATAGCCGCGGCGATCTCGGTGAATCAGCAGCATCCACAACTGAAGGGAACAAAAAGTGTTGAGCTTGAAAATTGTTTATGCGCGAGTGCACTTATTAATTGAAGGCGGATTGTATAAAA